TATAATGCCCATTATTCTTATGTTTCCTCTCCTGATAGTATCAACTAGTTCTTGTATTTCTCTTTTACTATTTTTCATTCTTCACTTTCTCTCTTCTTCCTTCTGATTTATTTCTAGATTTCTGTTTATGATATCACTGATCCTTTCCTTCATTTGGTCAACTCTATTTCCCAAGCTTGTTATTTCATTTTTCAACTCTTGTTTTTTATCTCCAGAAGTTTTATTTGGTTCTTTTTGAGGGTTTCAATCTCCTTGCTCTGCTCATGTTGTTATTTTTTCAGTTCCTGAAATTGTTGATATGACTCATTTTGGAACTCACTGAGTTTTTCAGAAGTACCATCCTTAATTCTCTGTCTTTAAGTTGCATATTTTCATGTCTGTAAGCTTACTTTCTGGAGATTTTTCTCTTTCTTCCTGAGATACCCTGTCACCTTGGTTGTTCATGGTGTTTAATGGACCATTTCTCTGTCCAGGCATTAATGGAAGTGTATTCTGCTGTTTTTTCCAGAGAGAAGGTTTATTATATAAAGGTCTCTCCTTAGCCTGTAGCAAGGAAGGTGCTTTTCTTTTGGTTTCCAGTAGGTGGTATCTAAGCCTCTTGGATTCCTGCTTTATATAAAGCCTTAATAATGCCTTTTTAATTTTCTTGTAGATATTTAATCTTGCTCGCTACTCTCAGTTTCAGTCTTTGTCAGAGTCAGCAACAGTCTCAGCAGCATTTGCTCAGATTCCCCTGGGGCTCAGCGGTGATGGTCTTGGAAGTTATGGGGGGAGGGACCCTTTGGGTTGGGAGTTGAGGTCTGCAGTTTAGCCTTGGTTTTGCAAGTATAGCTGGTAAAAATCAACTGTTTTTTCTCTGAAGTCCTGTCCTGCTTCTCTGCTTTCTGCTGTGATGACTGGGCCCCGCCGCCAGGGTCTTGGAACTCAGGCAGAACTGTGCAGGGGATTGGTTGCCCTTTCTTTCCTCCGTAGGGAGGTCCAATGGCTGTGAGAGACATCTTTGTTTCTCTCTTTCCACTGCCTGACACCCAGGGTTCTGACCTGTGGTAGCTCTTATACGCTGATCCCATGTTCAGATGTGCTAGTGTGCAGTTCGGGTGTTTTTTGTTGAGTTTTAGATGTTCAGCTTATTGTTGTTTCAAGGGGAGAGATCAGGGGACATCTCTCACTCTGCCATCTTTCTGCAAAGTCCTTATCAGAGTTCTTAAGCTGACTCTAACATTGCAGCAAACATTCAGGAAAATTCTAGAATTTGTTAACTTGAGTAAACCTGAGTGTGGGGATCCTCTCCTGGTGCATTGGGATCCTCTCCCAGAGTGTTGTCCAAGTTCTTGAGGTCTCAAACAAAGAATTGAGGAAGATACCGAAATACAAGAGAAAAGAAAAGCTTTATTGGAAGAGAAAGTACACTACCCCATGTAGAAGTGGGCCTGAGCAAGAGAAGCGTGGCTCAAAAGCATGATTTTTATACATGTATTACTTTATACATTTGTTTGTATCAGGAGTATTTACAGATGATTTTCATTTGCCATCTCGTTAGACACAGGTATCCACGGTAATTCTATAAACAGAAAAAAGTTATTTTAAAAATGCAAATGTACATTCTTATCATTTGTTTTCTAATAGTTACTGATTGGCCTGAATAATGTCTTGAAAGTTTATTTAATAATTGTCTACTACTGTCTCATAGAGAGTTGATGAGAGTATCAATGTCTCCAAATGTGAACTATCTAAAGGACAGGTCCAGGACATTTTCGTTTTTACCACTTCTCTGTTCACCCATCTTTGTCTTGTGTCTAGGATTCTAATTTTCTGTAGAATCTGAACATTGCAATGATTTGGGATTTAGGCTTACCTCCTCTCCTGGGAGCTATATTAAGACAACCATATTTGGTAGATAGCTTTGGCCTGAATTATTCATTCAACACATTTATTGCTCACTTACTATGTGCCATGCTCTGGTCAACTGCTGAAAATAAAGTGAAGTACAAGATAGTCACTGTTCATTCCCCGTGTGGAGAGTATAATGAAATCAATCAAAATGAGAAGTTCACCAGCATGTATTTGAGATCCACTCTGAGGAAAACAAAATGAATACAGGGTTCCCTGCTTTCTCCTGCAGGCAGTTAAGGCACACTATTAAATAAAGTTTAACATAACACTAAATTCTGGGGTTCAGGTAGAAGTACCTAAGTAGATAGGAAGGAGCCTAACAAGGACTGGATCGTTAAGATTTCTGAAAGAGCGGGTTTATCTAAAGGTGAATAGGATGGGGAAGGAGGGAGTTTTAGGACAGCCATGAGGAACCTGAACTTGAGCTTGAAGACAGAGTGACATGTTATGAAACTCTTCACATAACAGAGCAGCGAAGGAGTGATTGGCCTCCAATGATAGGCCTTCCAGACAGTACAGTTTGTCTGTTCTCTTCAGTCAAGCTATGCTACTCAGTTGCTGCCCTAGTCCCATGCCATACACTGGGAAGTTCGAGTTATACTTTTACATTTGGGCACACAGATTCAGCTTTTAGCTGTTGTGATCTACCACATTATTTTCTTATATTCGCTTTTTATTTCCTTGAGTAGAGTTCAATCAGAAATAGCCTCTCTTCAACATTTAGCTAATCCTAACTTCTGTGCAAACATAACCCAGTTCTAACCAGGTAGCTAAAATATGTAGTTCTCTTTGAGGATTCAATGGAAATTCCCTGCCCCAAACTAATTCTATAAATGACTTTTACATAAACACACCACTGAACGTTGGGGCCCAGCACCCGACTTAGTGGATAGAGTCATCCTTTGCCCCCACAGGTAGGTTCGCCGTGAGAAATTTGTGGCGAGGAGCACAAAGAGGCTGACTTCACCCAAGGGCACCCGATTTCATGGTGAGGATAGCAAGGGCGTGTCTGATGAAGCCACTAGGGAAAGGGCCTTCCACGGACACAAAGGTCGGAGTGGGAAGGGTTCGAGGTCCGCGATCTGGCTGAGGGCCGGGCAGCCCGCATTCCCACGTGCTGTAACAACCCAGCGTGACCAACGGACTCTGCATGCTTCCCAGGATGGCGCGGGAGTCACACAGGGCTGTACACGCCACACCTGACCTCTCTCGCGACTCGAGCCCTGGGATAATGTCATTAGGTAAGACTCCCCGGCGAGAGCACCAAGAGGCCCGAGCGCGGGTATTTCGAATTGCCCAGAAACCACGCCCTCCCCGGAAACGGAAGTTTGCAACTAGCGCCGCATGCTGGCCGACTATTTACTAGGGGCGGAGCAGCAGCGGGAACTGCAACTCCCAGAATGCAGTGCGGAGCTTTCTGTTTCCGGCGAGAGGACCGGAGTGAGTGTTTACACCGGCGGCTCTGCGGCCGGGTTCCTTCCGCGGGACGGGTGAGGGCGCTTGGGGCCCCGGCCGCGTGGGCTCGGCTTGTATCGACTAGTTAGCTGGTCCCATGGGAATGGTGGGGTCGTCGCCAAAGAGATAGTGTCGCTCCGCACTACTAGCTATCTCTGACCTTGGGCCCGTGACTTCACCTTTCTGAGTCTCGGTTCCATGGTCTGTAATATGTGGATGATAATGCCTGCCTCAGGGAACGAGTGTGAGGATTAAATGAGATATAAAAAGACCTATTCCCTCCCCTGTCATGAACCTGGAGATGGGAGATACCTTAAGGATGGCTTAGAGTCTGTTGGGCAGCCTCAACCTCACAGCCTTTCTATCTTCGTCCCTACTGGAGGCCTCTTTGCAATGATCGTAACAAGAGCTTGTCTTGCCTTGCAGGATTCTTTCGGCCTCAGGATTTCTGACTCATTTTTCTGAGCACCCATATATGCCAGGCACTGGGGTAATAAAGGCAAAAAATTCTAGTCTTTGCTTTCAAGGGCCTCCAAGAATGGGATGGGACGAGATTGGGAATAGTTATTTGTAACCCTTTGCCCTGAAGGAATGTGAGAATAAACAGAGGAAAGAGGGAGGGGACAGAGGAGGTGGTATTTGGCTTGGTCTTGATAGGAGGAGTTTGCTAAGTTTTGCTAAGAGGCCAAAGTGGGAAGGGGAATTACAAGCAGAGTTAGCAAATGAGAGAGGTGTAAAGTGGGGGAGCTTTGTTTGAATGGAGGCTTAGTGGAGAGTGGCAAGAAGACTGGCAGAGGGAGCAGATGTGAATGTATTTGTTAGCCAGGCTGTGGAGTTTAGGCTTATTCATAGAGGTAGTTTGGAGTCTTGGAGGAGTTCTAAACAGAAGAGTGACTTGATTAGATCTGTTTTAAAATGATGAGTTGGGTGGCAGCATGGATATTTGATAGGGAGAAGCAAGAGTCGGAACTTGTTATAAATCTCTTGTATAGTTCAAGCAAGAGTTGATGAAGAAAATCAGAAATGAGTGTATGTAAGGGAGAGGGTTAGATGATCTCATTTGAACCTCACAAAGTTCTTATTAGGCGGGATGGTGTTTTTACATCTACTTTAAAGATGGAGAAACAAGCCTAGAGAGCTGAAGTTCCTTGCTGTCCATCATTGGATGAGTAAAGAGAAGACCCCAGATTCTAGTTCTGGCCTTCTGATGCTTTATCCTGTGCTTTTCCAGCAGTGTCACATAGAATTGTCTCTCATTCGGCCTCTTGGTGGGGTGGGGTGGGTGGAGTAGGGTGGCTGTCTATTTTTACCACAAAGGCTACGTTCCTTTACAGGGAGAAAGAGAGAGCGCGAAAGAGAGAGGATGTCTCTCTCAGATTGGCACTTGGCGGTGAAACTGGCTGACCAGCCACTTGCCCCAAAGTCTATTCTTCGATTGCCAGAGACGGAGCTGGGAGAATACTCACTGGGGGGCTACAGTATTTCATTTCTGAAGCAGCTCATTGCTGGCAAACTCCAGGAGTCAGTTCCGGACCCTGAGCTGATTGGTGAGTCTGTAGTTTCGAGATGGGCTGCTGCTCTGATCTCTTTTGGGGAGGATACTAATAGAATTTCAAGGGTAAATTAAGAATTTGGGATTTGTTGCCTCATAATGTTAACACTCCAGGGGAGTGAGTGTTGTTGGGTTAAAAGAAACGCAAATCATATAATAAAACTATTGGTTGCCATTACAGTTGTGCATTATACTGAACTACTTTATCAAAGTTCCTTAACTATGACATTGTTGAATTCTTTCTCTGAAAGAGCAAGAATTTGAGGTGAGATAGGGAAGGAGGAGCTGGTCAAGGAAAGCCCCCCAATATATGGCATTTTGAGGTGAGTCTTAAGGGATAATTAAAAGGATTTTTGTCTGCTTGGTCGTTTGGTTAGATGGAAGGCAGTAAAAAAGGAAAGGAGGATGGCAAGGGCATTCTAGGAGGAGAAAAAGGAATTAAATATAACAATTAAATTATAAAGATAATTTATAATAGCTAAGGGATCCAACTGGCAAAAAGTGTATTTTCAGTCATAAAAACACTGGGCTTATTCTTTTTTTGCTGTCGCATTTTCTCATTTAAATTGAGCGGTCTTCACAAGCTTTAGAGCTTTCTTATACACATTCTGTATTTTAGAGTTCGTACTTGCTGACAATTGCTATTAAAATGTATTTTTTAAATAAGTGTACTTCTTAATGCCTATATCATTCTACAGCTATCTGTCTAATCAAGATAAGGCTCCTGGGGACAGAAACCATCTAAATTATTTTGAGGAGCAAAATATAAATGGACAATTCTTTTTTTAGATCTGATCTACTGTGGTCGGAAACTAAAAGATGACCAGACCCTTGACTTCTATGGCATTCAACCTGGGTCCACAGTCCATGTTCTGCGCAAGTCCTGGCCTGAGCCTGATCAGAAACCAGGTGAGTGAGGGTTGGCCTTACTCAGACAGGTAGAGCTTCTGTAGTGTCTATAAGGGAAGAGTCTGTGGGTTTTTGAGGCACAGGCCTGGGTGGATGGACCAAAGGAGTGATTTACTGAAATGGTAATAGAAGATATCTTTATTACTTATTACGTTAGATCACATTGATAAGCAAAATGTAATTTTGATCTTCTCTCTGCCAACGCTATTAACGAATGGTGATTTTTTCCCTCTTTTTAATTTCATTATCCACTGTTTTAGGTAACAGTTTATTTCTCAGTGAACTTTGTATCTTGTTATTGTTGTTATTGTTCTCATTAGAAAAAAGCAAGGAATTCCTTGTACTCTTAATGCTGTAGTTTTTTTTCTTGTTAGCAAATCTTCTGGCAAACTGCTTCAGGTGGTGACTTGTTCAGTCAGCTCATTCCTCCTGCTATACTGGTCATTTATTTTCCTCAAGCTTGAAAATATTAGAACTGTGTTAAAGTAGCTCTTGGAGAAAACATACAAAGCTTCTACTGCCTTTTGGGTTTATTAATAAAAGGTGCTGTTGGACTTGATAATTTAAATTCTGCATCTGTGTTTTAAAAGCCTCCCCAAGGGTAAAGCTAGGTTATATAAAAGATTAGCTTTGTTAAACTAGCAGTTGGACATTTTTATAATGTTCATGTTTGCTATAACTGGTTGTCAGCTTGAAATTTATCCTCGTTCCAATTCTAAACATAAAGGACAAAAAGATCTTTTGTACTCTGATGGGAAGTGAGAAAGAGAAACCCTGATATCCAAGGGCTGGCCTGGCTCTCAACTAGGCCTTGGAACATGAGCAATTTCACAGATTACCAGCATCTACCAGGCTGCTCGGAGATTGTAATGAATCAAGACAAGAACGAGAACCCTTTCATTTCCGAACAGAGACAATAACCTGAACATTGTCTAAACCACAAAAAAAGACCAAATATCCCCCTCTCCTGGCTATTATGAGTGACTGCTGCATCTTTCCAATTATGTCTTTGCCATGCTCTAGTTTTCCTTCTAGATAACAGTTATTAAGATACCCAATCATAAGATCAACCCACTTCCTGATAGTATCCAGTCCAAAGTAAAACCCCACTTCTTTAAACTTCCCCCACAAATCACCCAGCCAAAGTCCAAATCTGGTAAGTCCTTTCTAACACCCTCTTATTGAGATGCCCCCGGAATCTGTGATGTGCATTCTTCTCTGTAAGGAGCAGTAGATCCAACTTGTGCAGTTGTGAGTGAGCCCCTCCCGTCTGGCTAGAGGGCATTGACAGAAGGAAAGTAACATTTGTCGTTCTCCCAGCCAGATTGTTTCTCCTTGATATCTTATTTAGTCATTACAGTGGCCCTGCAGGATAGGTAACATTAGCATTTTATAGATGAAGAAAAAGAGGGTTAGAAAGGTATTTATTCAAGGTCACCTACTTAGAAAATGAATGCAAAGCTGGGAGGTAAATCCAGGTTTTCCTGGCTCAAAATCCCACATTCTTTTCACCGGGCTAGCTGCCTCCCGCTTCCAAAGGGTAAGATTAGCTCAGAGATGTTAATAGAGACAACAATAACTCTTAGCTGATTATCAGCTTAAGATATTAAGAGTCCTTTTCCTCCCTCCTTCTACCCGGAAATCTATTTTTGAAACAAATGGATTTTTTATTGGGAGATAAAATAAATTTCTAAATCTGAAAAGAAACTGTGTCGTGAGGGCATCTTAGGTATTCTGTCCTTGAGTGTTCTTCCAAAAGGAAGTACATTCTTGATCTCCCACTAGATTAGTGCCTGTAGAAGGTGAATCTGTCAGACCTTCCCATCTCACCTGGATCCCTGTAGTGGTTCTCCATGGAGGGTTACAGATCCCTTCAGGGTCTCCCTTAGCTTGCTATTTGAGCAGAGATGTGTACCCCAAGCTCCAACCATGTCCCGACCTGCAGGACCTAGTTATTGCGTAGAACCCGAGGAGGACCGTACCTTGAAAAAAAACATGGCGGGAGAAAAGAATGGAGGCAAGACAGTGTTCTGATCAAGCCTCCAAATTTTATTTTCGAGCGGTTATATTTATACACTCAAGTGGAGAGGGCAGGGGCGGGACTGATCAGAGAGTATTCGTTACAAGCTTATTGGTGTCCACCAGATGAGGTGATTTCTACCTGGCTAGTCAGAAACAGGTGGGCTGTGCCAGCAGTTGCAGGCTCCCGCTCTGCAGGTGGCGGAATGGGGGTCAAAGACACGGGAAAAGGCGGGCGCCGTGGCTGTCCAAATGTCACAGCTAGCAGAGTTTGTTCTCGATAACAGGATGTGGTTCTTATCTTTGGGTGCAGGCTTTAAGGCTCCCGACACAACCATACACACAAAAAATACTTGTTGTTTCTTCAAAGCAACTTATTTTAGACTTCCATGCCTTTACACAAGTTCTTGCTTAAGCTTGGACTACCTTCTCTCCCTAGTAAACATCTGCCCTAACCTTAAATACCCTCTCAAAGGGTCTCCCCTGGGAGACAGCTCTGTGTCCTAGCCCTCCCTCTTAGTAGTAGCTGTCCACCTATTCCTAGCGCTCTAGCTGGGATCAACATCTCTGCTGAGGTGCTCAGCGTGGTATTTTGTAATTGTATAGTTTTTGTTTGATTTAGTCTTATTTCTCCTGCTGTCCTTAAAGTTCCTTGATGTGAAGGATTCTCCTCTATTTTTCACTTCCCTGTGCTTTGCCCAAAACCAGGCATGGAGTAAGGTATGTTGTATAGTACGTTTGTTGAATGAATACATTAGGTAATGTGCTTAAGATGAATATTTTTCAAAAGAGACAACCCTCACAACTAGAGCTATAGGTAAGGATGTGGTTCTACACAGAACCACAGGGGTGCCATTCACCTTGCTTTGGGAGTTGGACAGTACACAGTCTAGAGACAATCACAAGTAGACATCCTAGGTGAGGGTAACTACTTTTAAAAGTATGACCCAGGGTGAACTTCCTGCCTATTCTCCCTTCCTTTATCCACATTTTTTCACCTACGAAATGGGCTGATGTCCCAGTAGTCAAGCAACCAAGTAAAACTAAGACAACTGCTAAACTTGCCCATTTATATGAATCATAGTGTCCAAAGATCAAAAGGGAGCTTTGAGTCTCAGTGAAACACATGCTATCAAGCATGTGAAGAAAGTTGTTAAGAACCCCAGAAGCACAGTGTGTTTTCTTGGTCTCTCTTGTGTTTTTTTTGTTTTGTTTTGTTTTTTGTTTTTAATTTAAAGTAATATTAAAGAAGCCTGAAAGAAAATATCAAAGAGAAAACAATTATCCCAGATTCTGTCACCCGACTAAATACTGTTCTTTCTGTTGTCCCATCCAGCCTTGGACCACAGGCAAACTGACATATTTATATAGTTTTATTAGAGAATACACATGCAACTTTGTGTTCTGTTTCTCTTAACATGTTGTGTCAATGTAGCTCCTTATTGTTCAGATGGTTTACAGCACTTAATATTTTAAATATGCCAAAAAAATATGCTGAGTTGGTTATACCTTCCTCCTTTTCAAATAAGTCTAGAATTCCTGCAGTGGGATGTTGATCAGAGCAACCTCTTTCATGTGGTAAGATTCCCCTTTGCTGGAACTTGACTTTGAGTATCTACTGAAGATGCTTAAAAGAGAATGCAGTTTTCATACCTGTTTGTAAATGGATTTTTCTCAGTAGGCACTCACAGTCTCAGTGGGGTGATGAGGGAGGGGAACCTGCAGTCCAAGCTGCACCTGGGCACATGCTGAAATGATATTGTGTGTCTGCAGCAGGTGCGAGGCCTAGACTGTAGGTAACTGAGTGTTTTGTCTGCAGAACCTGTGGACAAAGTGGCTGCCCTGAGGGAGTTCCGGGTGCTGCACACTGCCCTGCACAGCAGCTCCTCCTACAGGGAGGCGGTGAGTGTGTGCCAGGGCCCCCTGCCCCAAGACTTGCCAGGCCTGCAGGAGAGAGTGCAAATGCTGGAGAGTCGTATGCAGTGGGGACTGGGAGCCTGTTGCCATGGCTACCAAGAGTTCCTTGGGGAGTTTGCCATGTCTGTGGGTCTTGGTAGAGCCCTATCTTCTCCCAAAGAGTCTGTCTCAGCTAGCTATTGCTGATTTCCCTCTAATAATAATGATGCAACCTCTCCTAATATTGGCCTCACAGGGTGAATATAAATACAGCCAAAAGATCTGCATACTGTTTCTGCTGGGCTTCATTCTTTGAACTTGGCTGAACTGCTTGCCCACCGCTCCTTACCTGGATTTTCTCGCTGGGAAATGCACTGATATGTTTCTGTAGGAGAGTTCTCACGCAAAATTAATACAGCTGCAAACTTCCCAATATATATGAATATGAAATGATAATTGTACGGAGATTGAAAAGGACTTTTGGGACCTAGAGAACCTTTGTTATTGGCTTCTAATGAGAGCTTTTATTTTGGAAACATTAAGACTGTAGATGGGGGAAGGACCAGATTGAAGGTTTAGTGTGATATTGTTTTTTTAAAAAATTTGTTTGTTTCCCCTCCAGTATAGTCACATCTCAGAGAAGAAAGAGGTTCATCTGTTTCCTGGGGCTATTGTTCCATTGTGGTGGTGTATATGCAAGCACTTAGAGGGAAGAAGTACTTCAGCAGAGTGTAGGTATTTACTGAGTGGATTGAGATGGTTGGAGTGCTCAGCCCTCCCCATTTCTCCTGCAGGTCTTTAAGATGCTCAGCAATAAAGAATCTTTGGATCAGATTGTCGTGGCCACTCCAGGCCTTAGCAGTGACCCCATTGCTCTTGGTAAGTGCAGGACTGAACTGGAACAAATAGGAGTTGTTTGAGGAGGAGAAACCAGAAGGCAATTATCCTGAAGAGACTCTGACCATCTTTTGAAGAATCACTGCTCGTGGGGGAGGGGACAACCAAGATGTGTTCCATATGCCCAGCCCTCCAAGAGCTATCAGCCCCTCAGAGAAATCATGGCCTAACTAACATCATAAATGAGACTATGAGGATGTCAAATGAGGGCAGCAGCCCAAACCACAACCATCAGAGAGGACTTCCTGCATACTTTGATAGAAAAGGAAGAACCCAGAGATATGGGGAAAAGAGCTGGCATGTCAGTACACAGTATATGACTTAAGTGCAGGGGGAGGCGGTGGGCAGGGAACAAGATGGAGAGCACTCGGTTGCACTGCTTGGTGCTTTGTTCCTCCCACTTTCACAAGGGCTGCTTTGTGATCCTGTGTCTATGGTTGAGCTCGTTGCTCTCAGGCCTAAAGCCTCGTCCCTCTCCTGGATCTGGCTAGATTTCCAGTCTTTGAGTTGAGCCCTGTTCTTCTTAGGGGTTCTCCAGGACAAGGACCTCTTTTCTGTCTTCGCGGATCCTAACATGCTTGATACGTAAGTATGCCTATCTTATTAAAGGGGACCCTGTCTCTCCTTATTTGGTTAGGCCAGAAGTCTAATTGTCACCCTGGCTTCCGCTCTTGGAGCCCAGTCCTCGTCTACTTCCAAGTCTACCTTCTAAATATGTTAGGAGGTGAGAAAGAGCGAGTCGCTATGGGAGAATGACAAGCCAGAGCATGTGGAGCTGTGGAGGTGAAGGGAAGTGGCCTTTGAGCCCGGCTCAGTTTCTCTTATTCAGTAGCTATGAAGGAGCCTTTGAAGGATGTGAAGCAGGTACATAGATCCCTATTTTAGAGCCAGAAGGGACAGCAGAGGTTCTGTCTCTTATTTTGCACGTCAAGGAAACAGCTCCACCCTACCCCCTAGGAAGACAAGTAGTGATGGAATTGAGAACAGAGACTGACCCTACAGCCTCTCAGGCTGTCCTAGCCCATCATACCAAGGAAAAGGATTTATTTGCAATGGATCCCAGGACTGAAGGCCTTGCCACTGTTGCTTGGGGCACAGCAGCAGGAAGACAAAGCCAAATGGAGGGAGGTGCTGAACTGAGGAAATTAAGGTCAGGCACAGAAGGCTTGAAAGTTGTGAGAGGCACCAGACTCTTGTCATGGCGAGGGTACTCTTATTCACCCTGGATTTCTTTTTCCTCTTCCTCAAGGTTGGTACCTGCTCACCCAGCGCTAGTCAATGCTATTGTCTTGGTTCTGCATTCTGTGGCAGGCAGCACCCCACTACCAGGGACTGACTCTTCTTCCCGGAGCATGCCTTCCAGCTCTTACCGGGACATGCCAGGTGACTCCCAGGAGAGCATACTGCAGGCCCCCACAGGACCCGGCAGTGGCCCAGGAAATGCTTTACTCAGCAGCTATGTATAGTGCTGGCAGAGGGTGTTCCTCGGGAACTCTCGGTTTGAGTCAGGGAGTGCATCTGTCCTGTAATTTTCCAAGGGGAGAGATGAAAATATGAATTTGGAAAGTATCTGAGCTGAGATTCTGGAGCTATGCCTGTGCCTTCCTGTTCTTCCTCCTGAAATCTGTTCTCCCACCTCCAGGTGGCTTCCTGTTTGAAGGGCTCTCTGATGATGAGGATGACTTTCACCCAGTAAGTGGTCTGGCTGCTTACTGGCCTCCCCACCATTTGGGGAACATGGTGCCAAGGATGCGCCCCTCCCTGGGACCTGGTGTGTCCAAGCTGGGAGGTGGTCACAGGCCCTTTGGTGGCCAAGTCCGTGTCATAACTATTGCTTTCTGAACCTGGCAGCTTGGGGAGTCTCCCCAAGAACTGTACCTGGAGCGGGGGCGGTGTTATCTGGGACCATCACAGGGCCACTTCCCTGATTCTGGGTGCCTCCCTTCTCCAGAGCGCCAGGTCCACGCCCTCTAGCAGCACACCCAGCTCCCGCCCAGCCTCCCTGGGGTACAGTGGAGCTGCCGGACCTCGGCCCATCACCCAGAGCGAGCTGGCCACTGCCCTGGCCCTGGCCAGCACTCCGGAGAGCAGCTCTCACACACCGACTCCTGGCACCCAGGTATGGAGAGAGGGCGGGAGAGGCTCCCCAGCGGTAGAATGGGTTTGCCCCTGCTGACCCTGCTGCTGGGTCTGGTTTGAGCTGAGCTCTGCCTGGTTCCTGGTGGGTTCCTCTCTGCGGCTGGGCTGGGGCGATTTCCCCCTCACTTGCCTTTAGGGCTCAGAAGTCTGGAGTGCAGCACAGTCCCGATTGATTCCTCCTCCTGGTAGTTCAGGAGGCTCTTCCCTCACATAAAGTGCTCTTCCTCATCCCTGACAGGGCCCGGGCCTCACCGGCTTACGTATTCCCAGTGATGGTCACTGCAACTCCCAAGGCCGTCGCTTCCAGTGCTGGGGTCCTAGGCTAGGTCGGGGTCTGATTCCATTTCCCTGGAGCGGAAGAGAATGGAGCCGTCGTCTCATGCAGGCCCCTGTTGGGACACAGTAGTTGGGCACCCCGGGGACACCGTGGGGGTGATGTGATGGCAGCGGGTGTGTGCTGGGAGATTGAGATGGCTCTGAGAGTAGCCCTGACCACTGTTTTGTCTCTAGGGCCATTCCTCGGGGACCTCACCAATGTCCTCCGGTGTCCAGTCAGGGATGCCCATCACCAATGATCTCTTCAGCCAAGCCCTACAGCATGCCCTGCAGGCCTCTGGGCAGCCCAGCCTTCAGGTCAGTCTTCCCTACTCCTGGCGTTTATGCGGCTTTCCCGGTTAGGTTACCTTGGATACTGAGCTTTTTTCCTGCTCTCTGGAGGGCCTTTCCACTGGGAATGCTGGGTCATGGCAGTGGAACAGGAGGACGCTCCCAGCAAGGGCAGTTGTCCCTTCCACTCCTGCATCCAGTGACCATGGCCCGACCCCACCGACCTCCCGGCTTGGATACCTACGGCAGTTTTGGTCAGTTCATGCATTCCATGACCATTGACTGAGCACTGAAGATATATATACCGGGCCTGGGTCCAGGACCTGGGGTAGAGACAAGCCATCTTCAACCCTGCCACAGAGGGGCTCAGGCAGTTAGTTACTGCACTGGGAGAGCAAGAGGGTGAGAAGCCCTGCCCAGGCTTGACGTGAGGGCCTAGGTCAGGCAAAACTTTTCTGAGGAAGGGTTATTTAAGCTGATTGTCAAAAGAATTAGCTAGAGGTTATCTAGGCAGGGAAGAGGGTGTTTGGGGTGGAGGGATGGTATCCAGGCAGAGGCAACTACTTGTTTGAGCGAGTGCGTGGAGGTACCTGACATACTCAGAACTACAAGGCCCGAAGGCGGTGTCCTCGTGGATAAGATCCTGAGATGGAGTCAAGACTACAAGAGAGGCTGAGGGTTTCGAGAACAAATTTTGAAAGTTTATCCAATAAAAAAAAGGAAAATTTTAATATAAGGTCAAAAGAAAAGGCACAAATTGATGTCTAAAGTTCAAAAGATTAAATTACTTTTCTCCTGCTATATGTATAGACACACCCACACACACGTACATGCACACGTGTACGAACAGGCCTTGAGGAGGAGCCTGAGTGTGGGGGCCTGAAGTACCTAGGTAAAGAGATTAGACTTGATCCAGCAGTCATAGGGAGCCATGGAAGGTTTTAAGCAGAGAGCGACACCATCTGGTCACCTTAGCAGCTAAGTGGAAGACCCACGGGGTCAGGTTTAATTGCAGGTCTCTGTGCGCAGCTGTCTGCTTCACTGTTTGCTTTGCTCTTCACAGTAAACCTGGGGGTGAGCGTCATGTCTGGAACTTGCTCAGGGTCAATAAGCCAGTAAGTGGTAGAGATAGGGCTGAAGCCTGTGTGATTTTGTCTACGCCATGTGGCCCAGGTGGGCAGTGGGGAACGGGAGCAGGACCTGTGGACAGCTTTTCTTTTCCGTTCCTTTATCTTCCCCAGCTAGAAACCTATTCACCCTCCTCTCCAGCTCTGGAGCTTTCACTGGCTCCACCTGGCCTGTAAACTGAGCCTGAGTTGGTTTGTGTGGGTTTTTAAAGCCCTTCACATTCTCACTCTTGCCTGCCTGCCTCCCTGAATTTGTGTTACTTCCCCACTGCCTTCTTCTTCCCACAGTTGGAACACATCATTTTCCCAGGTTGTGTACTTATCTCCTTCAGGAGATAGAGATATTAATGAAGCTTTGAAAGTATAAAAGAAAATATAGTTAATTTCTTTAAACTTTTAGAGTTGAGAAGGCCTTTTATATCTTATAGTCCAAATCCAGGAGTCATTGTATAAAGAGTAATACATTTGGAATTCATAAAAGTGAAAATTTATGCATAGCAAACCAAACCAAACAATAAAAAGCAGGCAAAGTTTGCATGCTAACAACAAACTGGGAAAAATCTGTAATGTATCAGACAATGGGAAAAACCTCCTTGATATGTAGAGATTTTAGCAATTTAGGAGAAATAACTTCATAGAAAAATGGGCAAAGGCCGTGAACAGACTATTCACAGATATGAAGTACAGATGGCCCTTAAGCTGTGTAATTCCTCGCAGTTCCATTTCTCGGAATTTATCCCAGAGATGTATATGCGTGAAGAAAATGACATTTGTACGGAGTCAGTCACTGCAATGTTGTTCCAATAGCAAAAGATTAAAATAGTCCAGTTATGGTACATTTTAGGACATCCATGGGTTGGCATATTATAGTTATTAAAAACTTCTTTATATGCTGGCATAGAGAGATCTCCAGGTACATTGAGCATGTTAAAAAACAAAAGGTTGTGGGATGTAGAAGGGGAATATAAGGAAAGGGTAAATATGGGAATATATATGTTTGTCTCCTCAAAATAAAATTGCTTATGTGAGATGGGGATGGAAATGAATGGCAGTAAGACTTTTCACTATCATAGCAAAAAACAAAAGTAATTTTAAAATTCATCCCCTTTGCGCCTTATGTGTGTGTGTGTGTGTGCGCGCGCGCGCGCGCATTTGTATATATGTAGCAGGAGTAAAAAAGTAATTTAATCTTTTGAACTTTAGACATCGAGTAATTTGTGCCTTTTCTTTTGACCTTATATTAATAATTTTCTGTATATATGTAGCAGGAGTAAAAAAGTAATTTAATCTTTTGAACTTTAGACATCGAGTAATTTGTGCCTTTTCTTTTGACCTTATATTAATAATTTTCCTTTTTTTTATTGGATAAACTTTTAAAATTTGTTCTCTAAACCTTTAGTCTCTTTTGTAATCTTCCTACAAGCCCTGTGTTCTGTGGAGCTTTGTATCAGCGACTTTGCTGTAGGAACCTACCTTTTTCTCTCCCCTGAGATGATAGACTTAAGTGAGTCTCCGTTGGATCTCAACTAATGGCTTCTGCTTGGTCCTGTCTTTCTGCAGAGCCAGTGGCAGCCCCAGCTGCAGCAGCTGCGTGACATGGGCATTCAGGACGATGAGCTGAGTCTGCGGGCCCTGCAGGCCACTGGGGGGGACATCCAAGCAGCCCTGGAGCTCATCTTTGCCGGAGGAGCCCCATGAACTCCTCACTCCTTCTGAACCCCCAGCAAACTGCCAAGGCAGCCACCCATGGAAGGCACTCCTGAAGGTGCCCCATCTCTCCTTTATCCAATACACCTCATGGTTGACCTTTGCTTTGTCCAGTGCTTGGCCTTTCTGGCTGATCCGCGCTGGTGGAGGCAGTGGAGCAGGCATGGTTTGTGGGTCTTGGTGGCATTAGGGATCACACCTGGTTCTTGCTTCTGAGCCCTGGGTAGAGAATTTTAGACCCATGTCATGGGATTCTACGTGATGCCCACATTCTCTTTCGGGAGAAGTTTCCAGTGATAGCCCTCAGATCCTTTGGTGCTTTGGGGTGTGGCATCCTCAGGATGTGCCTGAGGCTGGAGCAGGGCTGCTGCCCAATCTCCAGGGTGGCTCCTGTGTTACATTAATGGCCAGAAGAGGTTTGTGCTTAGGAGTAGCCAGGTGGACTTTCAGAGGAGCAGAAAGGGGCAGCTTACCTTCTACATATTCCCTTCCCAAAGGCTTCTAAAAGATTCCTGACCCTCCCCCCGCCTAGTCTTACCAGGCATTCTTAGACGCCTGTTCTGTAATGATGCCAGAATTTAGGCCTCTGAGCTATGCCAGGAGGCAGGGCCCTCTTTTCTGTCCTGAAGGCGTAAATACAAGAGCAGTTAAATAACAATACTAAACAACACCAACAGGAACAGGGCTCAGCTTTCATATTGAAGAGAGGGCACCAACCCCAAGCTGCTGCTCCATCTGCCTGAGCTCTTGTTCGCCTTGGCATAGTGTTCCCTGCTGTGCTGCAGACATGTCCAAGTTGAGCGAGTGGGTTTCATGTGCCTTGAGTACTTTGTCGGGAGAAAAATCCTTCCCTTCAGATGATGTTTCAGTAGAAAGTTGTTTGGAGGTCCGTTCTTGCCCCATGCCTTTGGCGGGTGTTCCATCCACAGCATCTGTAGTCATGGCCATTTGGCTTCTGTTTGTCACCTGGAACAAAAGGTTTACCACTTAAGAGGACTACCTACTTCCCTATATTCCCCAGCGATTACTCCTTAGCCCCCTTTCTGCCCTGAGAGGGAGCACACAGAGCAAGCCTGCTCACTGTTCCACTAGCATGGCTTCAGTTAAGGAGACCAGTATGATTCACTTGTTGACCTGTCCTCTAATTTTAGTTCCCAGCACATCTTGTTCTCTCTGGATGACCTCCAGCTTATCAGTGATACTTCTTAAGGGAGATGCTCAGGAGGACCCACTATTTCAGAAATGGCCCGAACAGCACCTTGTTCTTCCTGTAGAAAATGTGAAGCCTTTTTACATTTCCCTCTCGGTCCTAGAATTAATGTTGAGAGGTGTTTGCACTGGCTGAGAAAACTCATATTGAACCCACCAGGCTTTTTGGGGCCGGGCCTCTTTGGGCCTCAGTGGGCTGCCTGGAGCCCAGCTGCCTCCTTGTGGTTGAGGGCAAAGACCAGGAAGCCCTGTCTTTGAACCCAGTGTTTTTAGCTTGCTTGCGATGGAAACACTGGCCAGTTCCATGCTCATGGGACTGCCTTGGTCAAATGGAGCTGACACAGCCCTTCTCGTCCCCATGATACAGCCAGCCTAGAACTGGTTTCCATTCTGTGGCAACTCCCATCCTGCCCCCAGGAGCTGTCTTCAAAGGGACTGGGGCTCCTTCACTCCCCTGCCCCATTATGCTGTGGGACGTTTGAGTAACCCTGCCCTGTCCCTGGAACTGACCCCCAAATCTCAGTTATACTGCTTCCCAGAATTGAGCTGTTCCCACAGTTTCCTTTTCCCTTCTTTGTCCGCTCTTTCCTCCAGGGTCTTGGCAAGTTGGCTTTGCTTCCTGTGGCCATGTTTTAAATAATATATGTTGAGTCTGATAAGTGCCCCCACTGAGCCTGGGGCTTTCCATGGGCCAAGGACTCCTTCCTCACCATTGTCCCCTTCACCCTTTCAACAAACATTCAGCCTGTACTCTGTGCCAGGTAAACATGACGGGGTCCTTACTTTCACAGAACCATGTCATTGGTAAGACAGACAAACTGATGTTTACACTAAAGCCTGATGAGAACCTGTCCAGCAGGTCGTGCAGTCATTGGCCCATAGGAAGGGGAGCTAACTTGGGTTAGGGTGTGTGCACGTGTGTGCACGCGCTTGGAGAAAGCGTCTAAGCTAAGACCTGAAGGGCGAGGAGGAATTAGGCAGGAAGGTGTGCATTCTAGGTGGGCTGGGTACGGGGAGAACATGGCTCCTATAGCCCTGTGTGTCAAGGCTGTGGGTTGCGAGGTAGACAGAGGCTAGATTATTTTAAGCCATGGAAGGAGTTTGGATTTACTCTAAGGACAATGGGGAGTCACAGGAGAATTTGAATCAGGGGAAAGAAGTTTGTACTTTCGAAAGGTTGCTGGCTGCTGTGTGTGAATAGATGGGGAGTGGGCCAAATTTGAGGGAGAGAGACTAGTGAGGAAGCTGTGATCCACTGAGTACTGTTGGTGGGCTGACCTGGTAGTGTGGGAGGAGAGGAGAGCAGTAGGTGGAGAGAGACTAGGAATTGGTGATAGCACATCAAGAGAAATAAATGTACTACTCTTTGTTCCATTTAGCAAATAGGGACGTTAAGGTTAAAAGGTGAGGCCATCTGTCCACAGTGTTATGGTGAGGCAGTATACAAGTTGGTCTTAGAAACTCAGGTCTGCCTTATACCAGAGCTGGTACCCTTCCCACTGTTGCCTATGGCTTCTGAGTGTGAGGAGGTGGGTGGTGCAGGGTCTGACGATCAGGTAGGCTGAGGAGCTTGGGCCATGGTAACCTTGGGGAGGTGCTACAGTGGAATCAGAGCCCAACTGAGGCCTGAATAAGTGACAGCTGTGGAGGCAGGGAGGCAGGGAGAACTCTAGAGAAACTTGGTGTTGAGAGGGTGGTTGGAGGGGATATAGTTGGTAGTTGGAGGGGAGGGGGAATGAGAGTGAGCTTTTGTAATTCAGCAGAGGTGAAGTTGGAATTGATCACGAGAACTTTTCTAGGAAGCTAAGGGGGAAAAAAAAGGAAGAGACCCTGAAATAGAATATGCAAATATATAGAGATGGGTGAGTTTTCTGAACAGATCTCTTCTCCTGATATAACTCAAATTTGGCTGGGCTGGCACAGCTTGTTGGGCACATGGGCCCTAGTTCTGCTCCTCGCCTCAGCCCCATCTGGCCTGGGCCTCAGATCAAGCTCTCAGAGCCCTACCCTAATGTGGCCTCTTGTTGCCTGTGCCACAGGCTTTGGCAGTAAATGGTGAGGATGTTGTGGGGTTTATTTAGGCCTCCGTCTGTCTGTTTACCCTACCTCTCCAAGCCCCCTCTGGCCCTGGGCTGGGGTTAGGTCAACTTTGCTGTGCCCCTCATTGCCCTGGCTCTGGCCCTGGCCCTGTCTGGCTCCTATAGGCTCTGCAGTTCCTGGTAACAGGATTCAGCTTCCTCTATGCTTGAAATGCCTTTTGCAGAGACTCAGGCATTGCCCTACTCTACCTTGGCAGAAGTGGCTAACAGCAATGCGGCACAATAGTGCTCATTTATCAAGCACCCTCTCTGTGCCAGTCATTGAGCTAGGCACTCAGTTATCTTAAAAAGTAGAAATTATTGTCTCCATTTACAAGGGAGTGCTCCCCATTAACAGGATGTGACTGTGCCGGGAAACTGGCCTTTCCAGGGCTGGGTGAGATTGTAACAGCACAATCCCATCAGTGTACCCACCTGGGGCTGTGTGCCTGGCTGGCAGTCCTGTAAGCCACTCAAAGGAGCTAAAGAGTCTTCTCACCACTCATTCTTCTTAGAAGTGGCAGCTTAAGTCTTGGAGGGGAATCAGGCTTCTAAATCAGACCGACAGGTTTAGATCTCTTTTCCACAGACAGTCTAACCACTGGGAGCCTCAGTTGTGTCTTGTTTGAAATTTCCCTCAATTTATGTAAGTGGATATTGACAATTTTTGTATTAAAGATGCCAGGGCACTTAGAGCTGGACTGATGAATGTTGTAGATGACTGATCAGGATCCTGACAAGGCAACTCTAACAAGAAGGACGGGAACAGGGGACTAGAAAAACAATTGCTCTCATGCAGAATGGGGTCTTATTTCTTCTCGTGGGCCCATATTCAAACAATCTTTCTCAACCAGTGTTCCATAAAGCCACTACCGGTGGTTGGGAATTGGCTCAAGGATGACCCTGGTTTAAGATGAACAGGGTTTAAAAGCCTGGTGTCTCAGCTCAGTAAAGCAGTGCCTTTGGAGGGGTTGTAATTAGGAATGAAGTCTGTCTTTTCAGACCTTTACTGCTCAGCCTCTCCTCTAAGTGTTCTGATCTGTCGACACACACTGGACTGCCTAACACCTTAGAGAGTCTCCGTAGAAGTTTGTTAAATGACTGATTCTTAGGAATCAACCAGAATTAGGCCAAGCAAAGCCCCATGTGGGACCTAGTTGGAACTGGGATGATTTACCCTGGAAGAGATTTAGAAGGGCATGAAATCCCCAAAGGACTATTTCAGGAAGAGGAACTAGACATGGTCTGTGTGGCTTTTGAGGACAAATTCGAGATCTCTGGTGGGCTGGGTATCTTCCTCCGGGGAGCTAAACAAGATGGCATGGCTGCTGCAGGCGAACTCATTTGGCAGTGGCGGTGTGTGAACAGTGGTTCTTACAACTCCATATAAAGGCTGTGGTGAAGGGCTCCCAGGTTGGACCGAATGACCTCTGAGAATTCTAATATCAAGAATTGGGCTTTTTGGATCACTTAATCCATGAAAAAAAGAACTGTTTTTGGGAGACCACGTGTCTGCATGTGTTTCTCTTCCACATTCAGATGGCTCCAGCAGGCCCAAGGATCACATCAGAGCTGGGAGGGTCCTGGGATACCTTCTATCCTGTGGAGATAGTTTTAAAAGCATATTTATTTCAACCTACGAATAAGGAAATGTGGAAGATAGAATGAGAAAGCTTTGTCTATCTCTGGTCTAGATAAGAGATAGACCAGAAGAACTGTTTTAGCTCTTCTTTCTGTTTGTAAACAAAGAAATGGAGGCCTGGACTGGGGCAGGGCCCTTGCTTAACTTGGGTCAGAGGCGCAGCTAGGACTTGAT